CCCGAATAAAAAGAATCCTGGCTGTGGGCCTGAGTGGATGACAGTCTCAACTGGAGAGAGGCACTTGGGGAATGAAAGTGAAGGAACTGAGCCAATTATTTTTTGATGGTGCACACACATGTGTCACACCAGGAAACTTCTGTGCTCGGGAGGAGGAGGAATTCGTCTCACAAAAACATGGCCACATCCACGGAGCCTTTACTATCAAGAGCCTTTTCAGTATTTTGGATAACACTGATGCTAATTAGAGAATCTTGAGTTATGGGCAAGTTTATAGTTACGAATTAATTGCAACGGTATTATATTTGCATACAGAGGAGAGTTGCAACGTGTAGTTCCGTAACCGGTTTAGTTTATCACTGGATTGAAAAGGTGCCCCTAACTGGGATAGAAAGGCATCTCTCTGACATTATTCACTAGCAGGGGGATGGTAGAATGAAAATTACACTGCTGACTCCTGATGGCACCTACTATTTTTGGGCACTGTGTGACAGAGTGTTGGACTGGATGGGCCATTGGCCTGATCCAACACTGGCTTCTCTCTTGTGTTCTTATGACTTGATTCTACGTGCCCACAGAGAGAGTGCGTGTCCTTCGTCATTTGCAAGGCAGCGCCTACGTACCTCTTCCTGCTGCTTAATCCAAGCCTCCTTCTCTTCCAGCCTCAAGTTCAACTCGTGGAGTCGCATTTGGAGGTCAACATCCGTCCCCTCTTTCTTTGAAATATCCTTCTGGAAATCGCATAACTGAGACTGCATGGAAAGAGCAGAGGACATGCTGAGGAGCCTCGGATGTGCGCTTGGAAAGAGGATCAAGGAACGTAACTGGCTGATATAGAGGACGTGGCCTTTGCCAAAGAGAGTTGTATGATAATGAGGAGGAGGCAGATCTGTGACCCACAAAGTCTCTGGTTCAGATCTCTGCTCCACCATGAATTTAATAGGTGTTCTTAAGCGAGCTGTTGTTTCGTCTGTCTCGGCTCCCACAGGAAATGTGAGGCTTGGTGAAGAAACTCTCTGTTGTATCAGACCGAAACTCATCTATTACATGGAAGCCCACAAGTGGGACATGAAGACAACAATCCCCACCACCACCAAATTTGCATCCCATCCCAGCATCCTGTGCTCAGAATATGATGTCATAACAGGTCATAGCTGTTGGCAGACCAACATGAATTGGCGTAAACCCCCTTTAAATAAGAACGGTTATGCTGCATAATTTGACTGATGTAATGGGTTGGATTCAGCCAACTTTTTTTCACCCAGTCTGACTAAGTTCTCGTCCCTTTTACTACAGTTCCCATCCAACATGGCTGTGGTCCAGACAGGTCTCACGATACCCAACACAGTCTGTTCGGTGGCCAAAGGGGAATCCCTCCTCCCCTTTCTCACCAGTACAAAAGCGGGGTGGATCCAACCCAACGTACAGCAAGTGCTTTGAGCAATGTTGAGAATTACGCTGGCCGAAGGAAGCGTTGACTCTCAAAAGCTGATACTGTGAAGCTCTAGTTGGTGCTGCTGAACTCAAATCTCATTGCTCTACTGCAGACCACCACTGCTACCCTCCGAAATTAAACTGGAGTCACTTTGACTATAGTTGTACTTTGGGATATACAGCGTGGGCGCCATTCGCAAGGGCCTTTTCTTGTAGAATCCCCACTTGAGATATGCTGGCGAATAGGAGCTGCTTTCCATAGACCTTCTTCAGCAAGGAAGAAAACCAACGTACTCTCAGGTTGCGGATCTGCCGGTCTTTATCCTCCCGGAGCTGATTGATCATCTCCACGTAGCGGCTGGACAGTTCGTCGGTTGTGGTCTGAATCAGGGGGTTCGACGAAACCTACGCGAACGACAATGTTCATTCAGCTTGATTTGCAAAACAGAAAACGGTAGCATGGATCACTTAAGAGTTACTTTTGCTGCAAGGGAAAATGGCCGTCAGAAAACCAACGTGTGAAAGTGCATTATATTGACCCATGAAGGCCAATGCCATGAACACCACTCATGCCAATATCACCAAGCAAAGAATAAGCAAAACGTAATCACAATCTTTGGAAACTGAGTACTATGACTCCCACAGCAAGCAAAAGCAAAGGAATGCCTTTACCTGGAGCCGGAGGTTTTGGACTTCTTGCTCCAGAGCTCGTTTGCTGTATTCCAGATCCTTCAGCCGGAATTCCTTGTCCCCATCGTTGTGCCGGAGAGAGATGAGCTGTTCTTCCAGTGAGCGGCACTTGAGAGTAGACTCTCGGAGGGCTTTCTAGGAACACACCACACAAAGCGAGAACGCTCAGACCTCTCACCATTTGGAAGAATCACTCTCGCACTTGCAGAACTTTCAATCCACTTTGCAACTGGAGTTTACTGGGGGAAACCGTGAAATCCACTTGCAAACAATCGCTAAAGTGCGATCTGAAAGTGGACTGGAAATACATCATTCAGAATGTGTGTGGAAATACCCTTTAAGCATTTATGGAAGAAAAAAAATCACAGAAAATTTATACAAGCTAGCACTGGGACAAGCTGTACCATGCCGTGGCTTACGGGACAGGGCTGTGACTCAGTGGTGAAGCATTTGTTCTACCTGCAGAATGTCTCCGCTTTAATCCCCACGAGCTCCAGTCAAAAAAGGATCAGGTAGCAGGTGACCTGAGACCCCGGAGAGCCACTGGCAGTCCAAGAAGACAAGACCGATCTTCACAAACCAAATGGTCTGGACTCAGTATTAGGCGGCTTCGTGGGTTCATGAGACCTTTTTCATTCCCTGTCATGGAGGGCCATGGGCTACAAAGCTAGAGGACTCCTTCAGGAGCTGCCCCAGGAGGACCTTGCAGGGATTTGTGTGGACGTCTGACAAGGCTGCACACGACTTTTCTAACCCTGAGTAGCAAAAGTGCCCAGTGAAAAGGGGAGCTGCTGCTCAAAGCAAAACAGAACCCGACCCCACAAGGCTGAGATCATTGCTAGACACAGCCAGTCGATATCGCCAGCAGCTCCCTTTCTGTCTTTTTAAATCTTGTACTGTCAGGCCTGACAAAGAGCTCTGGCAAGCTTAGGAGGGTCCACAGAGTTTTGTGCTAATTTAGCCCGGTTGACCCACATACCAACTGCTCCACTCTGGTTCATTAGCCATTTCGATTTTGAGATATTTTAAATGTTCATCATGTATTTCAATTTTTCCTATGAACATGACTGGGGATTTCTCGATTTTATTTTGATGGAATCACTGCTGTTGCTTCGGCGGATTTGCTGATGCAATAAAGACAGACTGACTGATAAAAGGTATTACATATGTTCAGTTCTTGGTTTTGTTTTTTTATTCTGTGGCTGTTTACAGCCTGTCCTCTGGATTATATCCAGGGCTCTTTTCGTAGCAGGAACTCATTTGCATATTAGGCGACACACCCCTAATGTAGCCAATCCTCCAAGAGCTTACAGAGCTCTTCTTACAGGGGCTACTGTAAGCTCTTGGAGGATTGGCTACATCAGGGGTGTGTCACCTAATATGCAAAGGAGTTTCAGGATGCAGTGTGGATGATGGAATCAACACTTGTGTAAACAGAACCTGCACACACATAGAAAATTAGTATGTAAGGAAAGAAAGTCCAGTCTACCCTTCTCCCTGGTGGGCTATTTTTCTACGGGCAAGTGTTTTTTCTTCCGCGCAGGAAAACAACCCAAATGTAAAGGCTGAAAGTAACACGATCCATGGGGGGGGGGGAAACCCTTCCCACTTGATTTTGCCAAATGTACAAACTCTCCTTTAGGACAAACTTCCATCACATCTGAAGTGATGTCCCTTGCTCTCCCTCAAGCATGGTGTGAAAAGGACATAAGACCATAAGACGACCCCTGCTGGATCAGGCCAACAGTCCATCTAGTCCAGCACCCTGTCTCACACTGGTCCGACTAGTTCCTCTGGATGGCCAATAACAGGGCATAGAGGCCTCCTGGCACTGAGATTTAGATGTTTGCCTCCTACTATGAAGGTTTCTGTTAGCAGCCACTAATAGACCTCTCCTCCATGAACCTGTCTAATCCCCTTTTAAAGCCAGAGGACATTCTTCACTACACGCTATTTTGTCCTATATATACAGCAGTTAGATCTAAATTTCTTGGCAATCTGCTAATAGGACAAAAGTTTTCCTCTGACATTGACAGGCTGGTCTTTTTATTATCTGACACTGATCCGCTCGTCAGTTATAAAGTGTCTCTTTTTGCCTTGGCCGCCAAAAAAATCAGGGCTAAGACTGCAGCTTCAGAAAAGTAACCCTTTTATGACTAACTGGATGTATTATTTTACAATTTTACTGTTTATAACTGGTTCTTATTTATTTGTGCCAAAATTCCTTTCAATCACTGTTTTACTTATGTACGATTAAAATTGTTTTCTTTTATTATCCTAATTCTGTATTGTGATGGCCTTTGGCTATATACACAACACAATTCTGGGGTTCTGGGTTCCCTTTTAAAGCCCTCTATGCCTGTGGCCATCACTACATCCTCTGGCAGCAAATTCCACATGTTAATCACTCTCTGCATAAAGAAGTATTTCCTTTTGTCTGTCCTGAATCTACTGCTCATCAGCTTAATTTGGATGCCCTTGAGCTCCAATATTTTAGGAGAGGAAGAGAAGGTTCTCTTTGTTAACCCTCTCTACCCAGTGCATGGAGCTTTAGTGGCTCAAGTGGTTAAGATGCTGAACTGCAGGCTGTGGAAGGTCAGTAGTTCAGCAGTTCGAGACCCAAGTGTGCCGCATGACGGAGTGAGCTCCCATCTCTAGTTCCAGTTCCTGCCAACCTAGCAGTTCGAAAACAAGAAATGGCAAGTAGATAAATAGGTACCACTTCAGTGGGAAGGTAACAGTGTTCCGTGCGCCTTGGTGTTTAGTCATGCCGGCCACATGACCACGGAAACGTCTTCGGACAGCGCTGGCTCTTTGGCTTTGAAATGGAGATGAGCACCGCAACCCTAGAGTCAGACTCAACTGGCTTTCGAGCAAGGGAACCTTTACCTTTTTACCCAGTGCATAATTTTGTAAACCCCTATCACGTCCCCCCCTTAATCGTCTCTTTTCTAAACAGAAAACTCCCCGTGTTTTCTCATAGGGAAGGTGATCCAACCCCTAATTATCTTGGCTGCCCCCCTCTTGTACTTTTCTCAGCTCCTACCACTCATCCATTCCACAGCGCTCTCTGGGAGAAGAGTTAGCAAAACATTTCAAAACAACACCTATGCCAGGCAGATAACATATAAACTGTTCTTTGGTCTATCAGTAGGGAAATAACTATTGCCAGAACAGACGAATGCTTAACTGCGAGTTCTCATTTCCTTCCTTCCTGAATGCTTAGAAAAGAATGATCATTTCACACATGAGAAACAGGCAGGCTTACCTGCTGCAGGCGATTATTCTCTCGCACGGACGCCAGGAGCGTTTCGTACTCCCTCACTTGACTCTCTTTGAAGGCCAGGTCCTTCTCAAGTAACGTCTTGTCAGTTTCTAATTTCTGTAAAACCAAAATACTTGTTATGAAAAGGTCCACTTTGGAAGAAGAAGAGATTGGATTTATACGCTGCCCGTCACTACCTATCGGAGTCTCAGAGCGGCTTACAATCTCCTTTCCCTTCCCCTCCCCACAACGGACACCCTGTGAGGTAGGTGAGGCTGAGGGAACTCTTTCGAGAACTGCCCTTGAGAGAACAGCTCTGAAAGAACTGTGATGGGCCCAAGGTCACACCAGCAGCTGCACGGGGCGGAGGAGTGGGGAATCAAACCTGGTTCTCCCAGATTAGAGTCCATACTCCTAACCACTACACCAGACTGGCTCTCTAGGAAGGTGGCATGTGTGCTAAGAGCAGAGAGGAAAGACATGAAGGCCTAATCTTTATGGGGGGGGGCAATACTGCCCCCTGGAGAGAGAGGGCAGACAGCAATGACGGCGACAGCATAGTGACTGCTGCAGAGTGGCAGGAACTCAGAAAGCCCTGGAGCCCTGAAACCTGCCCGGCAACTCCAGCCTCGATGCCAGCCCCAGTTCTGACACGCGGGAGCTTTCCTGAGATGCTTCTCTTAGAGAAAGGCTTGGGGGGGGGTGTTAGTGCCAAAATGCATCTCATTAATATGTGGGCCAGTTTTAGAAATTCCAAAGCCCTGTGCCTGGTTTCAAATAGTCATACAACTAGTTTCCACACCTTTAAAAAGAGTTGTGGATTTGCACTTCTCACATGCTGGTGGAAATGGTTGTTGAGGCAAGAGATGTTCGGAGGTGGCTTGCCATTGCCTGCCCCTGCATAGTGACTCTGGACTTCCTTGATGGTCTTCCAGGGCTATTTTTGGGCAGGAACGCACAGGAACAGAGTTCCGGCTGGCTCCCGAGTTGGCCACACCCAGCAGGAACTCATTAGCATAATAGGCCACACCCAAGAGCAGAAACTCATTAGGATTGGCTACATTCGGGGTGTGTGGCCTAACATGCAAAGGAGTTCCTGCTACAAAAAAAGCCCTGGTTTGACAACAAAGAAGGTAAACAGAATAAGAAGCGAAAGGTGGGTATGGCTGGATGACCCCACTTCTGGTAACATGGGGGTGCGGCCTAATGTGCTAATGAGCTGTGCTGTCAGGGTTGTGGCCTAATATGCTAATGAGTTTTGCTGTTGGGTGTGGCCTATTATGCTAATGAGTTCCTGCTGGGCTTTTTCTACAAAAAGAGCCCTGGTCTCCCCACCCAAGTACTCACCAGGCCTGACCCTCCTTAGCTTCTGAGACCTGACAAAAGCCTGGGCCATCCAGGTGAGGGCAGTTCTCACACACCACACAGCAACAGTGCTCCTCCTTTGGAAATTAGGCAACTTTCAAATATGGTGAACGATGCAACACAAAGAAAGGGGGTGGAGTCTGCCACTCAATAGGGGAAAGTCTGGAATTCCACTAGATGTATCTAAAGTCACACTTTCGATCTTGACTTCCTACGGCTCAAATGGCTCTGGCTGAAAGCCAGAGGCGGCCACCTACCCCTAAGTCATCCTGGAGATGGAGCAGCTCCTCTCGAAGGTTGCTGAACGTGGCAAGGACCAATCTCATAGACTTATCTGCTGTCACTCTCATCTAGGAAAAGAAAAGAAAAACAGGGAAGTGCATCTGAGGGATACGTTTTCTGCTTCAGACATGCAGCGGATTTAAAAACCGTCTCAAGGATCAGTCGAAGCCACTTCCGTAAGGAAGGAGACAGGGAGGAAAATATTGCAAAAATTTACACCCACACACACCCCGCACCAAAATCTCTCCCTTCGGGATACTATAAGGCTCTTAGGGACTTGAGCAAAACAATTTCCTCTCCACCTCATTTTCCTTGTTCGTTCTTAGTTCCATCTGTCCTCAGCATTCTGTGGTTCCTGGAGGCTCAGGACCATGCTCAGTCCTCACTGGCCTGGGGGTTTTGTTTGGGGGTTTTTTGGTTGTTTTTTTTTTTTTTAAAAAAAAACTACGAATTTTTGAATAGCTGGAGTGTGCGCCAGAAACTACTACCTTGAATATGGGTGACCCAGATTTGTTACCCTACTAATAAGCACTTTGGCATTCACTGTCGCTTTTTAAATATTTCGATGGCTACATGCATAAAAGTCAAAATAAATAAGAATAAGACTGAGGTGGGAAAGCTGTTTTCACTCATATGTGGACCACAAACCAAAACTTTTCCAGGGTAAGAGTCCGGGTCTTTTCAGTTTAGAAAAGAGATGACTAAGTGGGGGACATGAAGTTATGCATGGGGTGGAGAGAGTTGCCGAAAAGAACTTTTTCTCACTGTG